TGAAATTCCCTTATCTGTTAATCATTCCACTTCTCCCTTTGCGTTGCAACCCTAAAATTCTTCATCCTCGTTGAGGATGTTCAGTCATCCTCAAAGAGATTAGAGAGACTTCTGATCTTTTGGCCCATTTGTTCAGGAGTGGGTCCTCAGGTGAGACCCTTTGACTGAATCCAAACTTCACAAAACAAATCCCCTTAATAAAAGGATTTGTTCTGTAAAACTTGGACTCAGCCAAAAGGCCGCACTGGAGGACCTAGAGGTTCACATGTGGCTTCGAAGCTGCAGGTTCCCCATCCCTACCTTAGTTCTTTCCCAGACCATCACTCATACACTGGCTCCACTTTCTTTCTTCCTCATCTTGAGCCATTGATGAACCATTTTAACTTTACACTGTCTTCTTCTCTTGAGTACCTTGCTCCCTTCACCGTCTTCTATATTACTCTGCCAAGCTTCGTTCTTAGATTACTCCCATCATTCACTGCAGTGATTCCTAACTACATGCTATTGACAGAACTGGAGAAAACTGCTAAATAAGTGCATTGCAGATTTATGTTACTTAATTTCAAATGTGTACTCAGTGCACAATGATTTTTATACCTCCCTGATGAATTCATTATCCCACTCATCACAGAAGCTTTTCCAAACTTTTTCATCTCTCCATAAACCTTCCATGGCTACTCTCTTCTCTGTCATTACTCCACTCTCTCTGCCAGGAATCATTTCATTGAAAAAATTAATGCTTTGTGCTCAGAGCTCCCTTTTCTCTCCTCATCCTCATCTCACATCTCTCAGATGCCTTTCTACACCATCTCTTCCTTTAATCCATCTTACCTCCTTGCCAAGGCGAAAACTTCTAAATTCACAAATGATTTCATTCTACTATGTCTCCCTCTCCAGGTTCTCTCTCTTGATTTTCCTCTTACATATCTGACCACTCTTTCTGAACCTTAGCTGGATTTTCCTCCAAGTCATGTCTTCTAAACATGGGTTTTCACTGAGACTTTGTCCTGGGCCCTCTTTTCTTTTCCTTCTAGAGTGGGAGCTCTTAACCTGAACTTATGAATAAAAAAAATTTCAACAGTTTTATTGAAGTATAATTGGTTTCCTTTTTAATCTTATATATTTGATTTTATTCATTTTAAAACATTATCCCTAGAGGGTCTTTATCACATTGCCAAATGAATCCATGACCCCAAAATATTAAAAACCCATGCTGTAATCAGTTGCTTCATGACCTCATCAACTTCTGTAGGACTAGTAATCTTCTCTGTTTAGATGCTTCTCAGATCTGTTTATCCAGCTCAAACCATTGTCCTGAGTTTCAGTCTCATTATCAGCTGCCTGTTGGACATTTTGAACTTGGGGTCTTGAAGGTACCTCAGATTCAACATAGCTAAAACAGAACTCATTTTCTTTTGCCCAAACCCTTCCTTCTTCTGGTTTCCTCTGATTGTCTAGGGCATTATCATCCTTTCAGTTATTCAGCCTTATAGCCTTAATCATCCTTGACTACTTCCTCTCACTCATCTCACATATCCATTTTATTGCCAAATCTTGTCATTTCTGTCTTCACAGCATCCTTCGTATACATTCCTTTTTTCCACTTACACAGCTACCATCCAAGTATACACACTTATCACCTTATTCCTAGAGTATTGCAATAGTCTTCTGGTTGTTCTCCCTGCCTCCCATCTTTCCCCACTTTTGTCAATCCTTCACTCAACTGCCAAAGATATCTTTTTAAAGTTTAGATCCGAGCGTGCCATATCCCTCCCCCTAACTTAATACGTTCCAGTGGTTTTCCTATTACTCATGATCAAATCCTTTGTTTGGATTTTAAGTTCTTTATAACCTGGTCGCTTTCTACATTTCTGATTTTATTCTCTTCCACATACTCAATAACATAATGACAGTGGCCTTCTTACTGTTTTTTGCACAGGGTATTCCATTCTCTTAATTCCATACCTTTTCATTAACTAGAATGCTCTTGTTTCTCACCTGCACCTTCTGGCTTCCCTGGTTTCATGATTCGGCTCAAATCCCATCTTTCGCAATAGCCTTTTCTCGATCACCCCCACCATTATTGTCTTCTCTCCGAAATTACTCTGTGTGTGTGTGTGTGTGTGTGTGTGTGTGTGTGTGTGTGTGTGTAGAAAAATAAATTTGTTTGCATGTTCTCTTTCATTAGAATGTGAGCTTCTTGAGAAGTGGGACCATGATTTTTTTTTCCTTTTTGTATCCCCAGAGCTTTGTGAAGTGCCTGTCAATTAGTAAATGCTGGTTTACTACTTACAAATTGATAGAAATATTGAATAGTAGCTGTCAGTCATAAGTACATGTCCATGTATACTATATGCATATTTGTGTGATTCCATTAAAAAGCTGTAAGATTTTCATCTAGCTATGTTTCTTTATGATTTCTTCATTAGAATACAAATATTTCCATTTCCCTCTTTTCTCTTTTATTTGTTCAGTTGTTAACTTTACTATTTTCCTAATATCATCTTTCCCTATTAATTTAGGTATCAACATGTGGGATTAACAATTTGTTTTTATTTGATACAAGATGATTTTCACTATTCACTTCTCTTTCTTTTCCTTTTTGCGTTCATTTTTGACTACTGTTGAAAATTAATATAAGATGGAGGGGAAATCCACAATTGTTTGTCATTAGCAGCTATGTCTTATATTAGAATAAGCTATCAAGATTTTATTATAATGTATTCTCTTTATTCATTGTTTGAATTTGTAGTGGTTTTAAAAATGTTAGCTTTAAGCTCCTTATTCTTTTTAAGTTTGTCCCAGAAAAAATTCTGACAAACTAATATTTCAAGTATCAAAATTTCTATAAAATATGTATCAATAAATGCATTGCTTATTAAAATAAGAATCTTAAATACTATTGACATTAGATTAAACCAAAAATTGTGTAGATAGGTATTTAGTAAACCTGTCTTTGGTGGTTTGCCAATTGGCTTTTAACTTTGACCTCTAGTGACACCTCTGCTATTTCACTTTATTTCTTATCCTTTTATTAGGAAAGGGTGTAAAAAGTACTTGCCTGTGTCAGATAGTTTGATAATTACCTAATGTATTTTAAGATATGGACTAATGTGAAACCACTAAATCCATTTTTTTCCTTATGACCAAAGGCAGAGTATTTTCCAAGTGCTGTTAATTGCTGAGTATGATAGAAATCATGATAAATGATCATAAGTGAAGACAATTAAATTAGTCTACTAAGATGCTTTTAGATATGCTCCGGTTTCAGCTTATAAATCCTGACTGCAATAAAAAGCCTTTGAGACAATAATTTGGGAGCTTCTGTGTGCAAATGTACGCATCTGCGGAAGAGAATGAGAAAGATGAATGGGTTCTTTAGCTTGTTTTATATATCAGACTTTCCACATTGCTATTCACCTCTACAGAGCTTGATATTTACATATCATAGATGACATTAGGTATTTAAGTAGCCAGTTTATGGTAAAGAAATATTGAATGTTTAATTTTGTCTTATTTCATACTCTTCAGGACATGCTGAAACTTTCGATGATGCATCATAAATGTCAAGTCCTGAAAAAGAATAGAAATTGTATCATAAATTCACATAATCACTATTCCAGATTTAGAAATGGAGTTGCTTATTTTGAATGAAGTTGCTGGAAGGCAGCTTGTGGCTAGAAAGAGTGCCAGAGTAACAAGACCTGGGTTCAAATTTTGGCTCTGCCACTAACTCTATGGAAGACACTGGGCAAATCATTGAGCCTTTTTGGGCTTTAGTTCCTTATCAGTAAAACAAAGTAGTTGGACTAGATGATCTCTAAGGTCCCTTCCATCCATAAATCTATGATCTTATGATCTAGCAAATAAAGGAAATATATGGGCTTAACAAATGATAGATATAGTTAGAAAGGAAAGGAAAATTATCTTTAATGTATGCAGTTGCGACCAATAATTAAAAGTTTATTTAGTCATTTTGTTAGTCATTCACAAGAATCTGTAACATGAAGGATAATATATATCTGACTTACATGAGGGATGAGGAGAAAAGAAAGGAAGTTGTAACCACCATGTTAATTTATACTTAAATGTAGACACATGTGAATTATGTACACATATATAATGAACTTTTCAATAGTATAATGTCCTTTCCTCTTATCCCTCAACCTTAATCCTATCCATAATTTGAGACCTGTTTCAAATCCTATCTAGCTTTTCTCTGTTACTGGTCTTGCTACCTTTCCTCAAATCCTATAATACTTCTAAATTGCAGGTTTCTTGAGGATAAGTATCCATATCCAATAGAATGTCAGCTCTCTGAGAAAAGGGACTATATTGTACTTATCTTTACAGCTCAAGTTTAGGATAGTGGCGGGATATAATAGGCAATAAATGTTGAATTGAATTGGAAATTAAGCCTTTAAAAAATAATCTCCCACTTAGCACGTACTTGGCATTCAATAAATACTTATTGGTTGGTTGGTTGAAATAAAATCTCTTTTACATTTATTTGGGAAACATATATGGCTACCTCAATTATTCACATGTAGATTATTTATTATTCAAAAATTCTGCTTTGTTATCCTTTCACATCCTTCATATATTGTTATTGAGTAGCTCATAGCTCATTGTCTTTGCAAAATAATTTTACTTAAAATCTAAATGAAATGAATTAGGAAAATAAATGTTGAACCTCTCAGGTGATAGCACAAATATCAAAGCCATATATATAAGTTTTTTTAAAATTATCTATTTCTGAATAACCTGTTTTTCTACATAGTGTTGATAGTTAACTGTATAAATATAGTTATTACAGATCATGTATTTTAAAATTGCATTCTCTCACCTCCTAAACACCAAACTATGAAATGTAGCACAAATATTATAAGAACATCTGAGGTAGATAATTAAAGCATAATTAAGTTTAAATGCCTTGGTGAAGGAATATAAAAATTATTTAAATTCAACCAGCTAGTACATTTGCAGTTTTCTTTTATTAGGTGTGAAATCTAAGAATCCCTTGCCAACTCTTGAGGGCTCAATCCAGAATGTTGAATTGAAGTACTGCAGCACATCATTGGTCAAATGTGCCTCTGGGACCGTGGGATCAATAAAAATTTGTGCCAAAGCCCCAGGTATGTGCAGCTGGACCATGTAAAACTTTATTGCCTGTATAGGAGAATTGGCCTTGCTTTTTACAAGGAGCGTTACTGAAACAAGAATTTACTCATTGTTCCTATGAATCAGAGGGTTTTTAAATTTTATTTCTCTTTTTTCCTTTTTATTTTGCCAGGATGATGCTACTTGGCTTAATAAATTTTTTTTTATTTTAAAAATTCTATTTACTTATAAGATTGATTTTGAAGAAAATTAGAGAAATTATTTTTCAAGAGTTTCTTGAAAACATATAAATTTTGTACCAAATCTTAATGTAAGTTTGTGTGATATACATATATACATGCATACATATGTATTATACATATATGCCTAGCTGAAAACACTTTTAAGACCTTTTTTTTCCCTTCACTGGAATGCTTGGGAGGAAAATTGATCATTGCAGACAAGTAGATGTAGCCTGTCAATATAATGATATGTGAGAAAACCTTAAAAACAAAGTTCAGGTTACTAATTTAAAAAATAATCTATATTGAGAAGCTGGTCAACTTACCACCTTTTATTATTTTTTGTGCTTGATTCACACTTGACTTTGTTAACTTTCAGTTTTGAATTATAAAATATGCTTATATTGGTGATGTTGATTTCCTTACCCCCTTTTCATCTTTAAAAAATTATGTTTGTTACAAGGCTTAGCTTTCTGGGTTTGTCAGGAGAGGGATAACTGATAATATAAAAATAAAATTTTAAAACTCATTTAAAAATAAAAAATAGACTTATACTAGTTAAATTGTCATTTGTTAACTTTGGGTTCCAAATATTATTGACATTCTTTAGGTGATTTATTTCAAATAAGGGACATAACTGTTTTAGATGTATTATGATTTGGATGTTTAATTTAGGATTATTTAGTTTATCGCAGATTATAGTTATACCAAAATCAATGTAGTTTAAAATGGATTGATGAATATAATGGCTACAAATTCTAGTCATTCTACTAATAATACTGCTCTATAGCTTGATATTTTTAGGTATATTGAAACATGGGCTAGTTACATATTTAGGGGAAAAGTACCTATAATTTCAAGGTTAACACTGATATTTTTATTTAGGTGAGAATGGAAAAGAGAAACTGATTCCCTTAATTCAAGGCCCTTCTGACACCAAAGACCTCCACAGCAGCAAATGGCTCAATGAAAGTAGAAAGCCAGAATCTCTATTAGCCCCAGATTTGATAGCTTTTACCATGCAAATTCCCCAGTCTGTGGACTACTGTCATAATTCAGGTAAGTACAAAACTTCTATTTATGTTCATATCATTTTGTACTTTATCATTTCTAGCAGGACTTCTTTTGAGTGGAGTCTGTCTCTTGAAGACTCTGTAACCTTTAGATATAAAACTTCAGTTATTCTTTTTGAAAATCAGAATGAATAATTATATCACTTTTATTCTTTTTATAAGTTGTAATGATTTTAGATAAGTAAATTTGCCTTTATGAACCAGATCCTCAGCACATACATGCACAAACAGCCAAAGGGTTAGAAAAATGGAGGGTCCTATGGTGTGTGTGTGTGTGTGTGTGTGTGTGTAGATATATGTATGTAGATATGTGTATATATACACATTCTCCCTCTCAGTTTGTAATAGAGAAAATTTACTTTTATTTATCATTTGACCTTGGCCAAATGCCATAATTTTATACCTTTGCCTCAATCCTCGAACCTCAAACCAACATGACTTTTAAGTGAAATCAGTGTTCTTAGGAAATAGTGCATTTCCCTTTCCTTTAGGCGGTGTGTGTGTGTGTGTGTGTGTGTGTGTGTGTGTGTGTGTGTGTGTTGGATGGCCACTTGTTGGGAATGTGGTGGAAGGGATTCTTGTTTAGCTGTGGATTATATTAAGTGACCTTCCAGTTCTGATTTGGTATGATTTAACTTGTCAACATGGCTCAAATAACTTTTTGACATTTTTATCAACAACTTCTTATACATATAGTTCTGATTTGTTAAAGATAACCTAAAGGGAAATTATAAATGTAATAATAAACCTATAGTTATAACTGTTCCTTCATGTTATTTTATACCTTATTGGGGAAGATTAAAAATCTTGACTGTATGTGATGTGCTTAATTAGGAATGTTTGTAAATTCAGAATGTTAACATTTGATTGATATTTTGAAGATTTCCTTTAGCTCGGCTTTAATTTTCAAAGGTAATATGTTTTTCTTAAAACTAGGCTTGGGCACACAGTGGATAGAGCATTTGACTTTACTCCACAAAGAAGTTTGAGTCCAGTCTCAGACATTTTCCAGCTTGCCAGTGTGACCATGGGCATGTCACTTAACTTCCTTAGTCTTATATTCCTTACTTCTGAAATGGGGGTGGTAATAGCACTTATCTTATAGGGTTGTTGAGAAGATAAATGGGACATATGCAAAGTTCTTTGTAAACCCTAAAGTGCTGTGTAAATGTTAGCTAGTTCTGTTATCATTATAACCATTGTTGTTATAATATTCCCAGCAGGGGTGTTCAGTTTAAAATTTCTATCCCACTCTATTCCAGCACACCCATTTATTCTTGAGGGATTTATTACATGATTTATACTGCTAGTACATATTATTATTAATTAAAACATTTTTGAAGTAATTAATTTTCACCTTATGTTTATATAAAAAGATTTAAATAGGTATAGGTAGGACAGGTACTCAGTGTAGGATGAGCAAGTGCACGTGGACTTTGGAACTTAAAAAAAAAAACAAACCAAAGGTGTCTCAATTAACAACAACAACAACAACAACAACAAACAACCCAAAGTAATCAGAGTAGACTTAGTGGTGTATTTTTTTTTTTCGGCAAGCAGAAAAATATGCATCAGGTGAGGTGCTCAATGAATTTCCCCCAGGGCTTTTGGAATTTGTAGGAGTGGTAGTAGAATGTACAATACTATATGAACTGAGTAGCTTAAGAGCTAAAGTTGAGTGTTTTTAGTCGAGGTTGGTAAAAGGCTTAACAGACCTCCTTTAAGGATCATGGCAGGGGGTAAGGGATGGGAGAACACCTGGCATTTTGTGTAAATGCTTCCACCAAGGAAAAAATTAATTTATTAAAAGCACTGACCATCAAATTATATGGCTATTAAATAGAAGAAAACCAAAAAGTAAGCTCTATAGGAGAGGCCATAAGGAAGGAGCAAAATGTTTACCACATGAATATAAAAAGAAAATAGGGGACCATGATTGAGAGTCAGATGACTATGAAAAGAAGTAAGCCATTTATTTCCCAAGTATATATATAAAGACACGTATGTACAAATATAAACTATTATGTCATAATAAATTTTGTCTCATTCTTTTTTATGATTAGCATAGTTTCTGCTTGAGATTGAAACACTTTTAGCTCTCTTTTTTTCATTTGAACACATCAGAGTTATTATTTAAAATTAAGTATTTATCAAGTCATTAAGCATTTAATAAGCACTTACTGTGTTCCAGGCACTGTGCAAATTTAAACACAACTAACTTTAGGGAAGCTTGAATAAAAGAAAATGAGAAACAACAGCTTTGCATAGTTTCTTTTTTATCATCAATATGAAATCTAAATGAAAAAATTGTAGATTTTACATTTTAAAGGAATCTGAAGACATTTTTTAGTCCACTTTATGTATAATAGCCAGTAAGAGTAGTCTTGGACTGCCTGCCTTACAAGGGGGATAAATCCGTAAAAACGCTGTGATTTGTAGTCTTTTTCCTGCCTGGGAAGAAATGAAGCTATCTTGGACTGGGAACCAGAGAGTGAGTTTTCCACATTTTGGAATCACTCTGTTAAAAAAAAAAATACCTTCTTTCTTAATTTATTGTCCTGTTGATTAATTGATTGATTAATTGCTTTGTGGTCTAGGGAAAGAGCCCTGGGCTTTGAGACAGGAGAACAAGTATCCAGCCTATCCAGTTTTTAATGGCCTGTCACTGAAACTTAAGGAAGATACTCAGTGACTTCTGTTTGGCGTTTAAAGCTCTTCATTACCTGATTTGTTCCTACCTTTCTTGTCTTAACATTTTATTTTCTTCTATTCACTCCAGTTATAATGGCATATTTGCTGTTCCTCAGATAAGATACTTCACTTTCACTCTCTGTGCCTTTTAACTGGTAGTTTCCATGTCTAGAATCCTCTTATTCCTCACCTCCACCAGTTTCCCTAGCTTCCTTCAAGACTCAGTTAAAATACCATTTATTTATACTTTTATACATTTATACATTTATTTGTGCTTATATATCTTGTATGTACATAGTTATTTGCTCCCCCATTAGAAGGTTAGCTTCTTGAGGCCAGGCCTGTTTTTGCCTTTCTTTGTATCCCTAGTACTTAACACAGTTCTTGGCACATAGTGCTTAATAAATGTTTATTCACTTGGCTTGACCAGACCTTCTGAAGGAGACCTTTCCTATTCCCTGCTATTTCCTTCTGAGATTACCTTCCATCATCTAAACTGTATATAGATTGCGTATACCTAATTATTACATATTATTGCCATTGTTAAAATGTGCTCTTGGTGTCTGGGAGATTGTTTTTGCCTTTCTTTGCATCCTTAGTGCTTAGCACAGTGCCTGACACTTAATTTAATAAATATTTGTTAATTTAATAAGCATTTAATAAATGCTTATTGTAATTTAGTGAGCATTTAATAGCTGTTTATTGACTGACTGACTTACCTATCTAGTTGATTAAATATTAAGGTATTACAGTGAAAATTATATTCCAGCACATCCTCTGTCTGGTCTTGGCAAAATGTTAATATTGTGCTACTGTGGTAAGAAAACTCAAATAGCCTGCAAAATTTTTCTCTCAATTCCTGGACCTGACACTTAGAAATAAATTTCAGTGATTTACAAAACCTCTCTGAAAATTTCAGTTTGATTATTTATAAAATGAGTATACTATTCCTTGTACTACATACCTCATAGGGCTATTGTTAGAACTAGTAAGAAGAATGTATGTAAGGAGTTTTATAGTTCTTAAGACTTTGCATATCCATAAGCAGTTGTTATGATTCTAGAAGTATTTTATATTTCCTTATATTCAGATATAAATAAAAACGTTTCACAGCCCAAGGTATTAAATACCACAACTGATGTTGGGAAAACAGATATTCTGGTTAAAGAAATATGTCAATTGTACTGTGAAAGTCAGGGGCATCTACATAGTTATGGTAGCAATAATATCCTAAGCCTTGTTCCCTGCCAAGTTAGGCTAGTTTTTCCTTTAAAAAGTATTGAGAACTATTGAGTTTTTATTTTTTCTTTGAAAATTTTGTTTGTTATATGGATGGCTTTCTGGAAGGGAAGGGATAATGGGAAAATTTTTATTGCTGTAAAAAGTGAAAGATATGAATAATAATGTATGTTTCTTAAAAAGTATTGAGCCTATCACTGGGACTTGATTGGCTTAAGGGACTAAGGAGTTAGGCTTTGAACATTGCTTCCTGGTTGCGTGAATGCAAAACAACTGCAACAAACTCCAGGAGTTCTCTCATCTTAGATGGTGGAAAACAATGGGCAACTTGTGAGGGAGCTTCTCTCATCTGGATTAAAGCTAGTTGTCCTTAATGTATATCCACATCGTCTGTTAGCCAGTCAGTCAGTGTTGATTAAGTGCTTACTATGTGTCAGACAACTTGCTAAGTGTTAGGGATAGAAAAAGAGGAAAATGACAGTCCCTGAACTTGAAGAACTCATAGTCTGATGGAGATAATAAGCAGACAAAAATGTACAAGCAATCTTTATGTAGGATAAATAAGAAGTGATTAACAGAGGGAAGGCCTTCTATTGAAGATAGGATTTTAGTTGGAACTAAAAGGAAACCAGAGAAGCCAAAGATGAAGAGGGAGAACATTCTAGGGATAGGGGACAGCCAGAAATTAGTTGTTATTGACTATTCTTCTCCTGCTATTAGGAAGTAAATCTCTCTTTTTAAAAAACTGTTACTTGACAACTATGAGTATTTTGTTTTATTCTTATATCACTCAAACTAGCAAGGAGACATGCCTGAGTCTGGTTCAGCTTAGAGCAATAGTATGTAAAGACTTGTATTGCTACATTATTTTTTTACCCATGATGTCCTTTCACTCAAGTAATCAAGCTATCAGCCTACTTTGAAAGAACCCTAATAAAAACACAAAGTTAAAGTTTTCTTTTGTACCTGTAGCTGAATAGGATAAACCTTTCCCAAAACTAGATACAGTTAGAAAGAAAAAAAATGTAGCATATAATTGAAACAACAGTGGTGGTG